GTAATTTCTTTCTGTCAGTGTAAAAGTGACATGAAATAAGGAGGGTAAGTCTAAAATCCAAATAAAACTAAAATAAAAAAGAGCCATCAGAAACAAAATAATAGTTAAATGAGTGATCTAATCACAACTGTCAGGAAATTTTAGCTACCATAAAGTGTGTTAAGGAAGAAAAGAACCTTAAGTTCTTCATACTTAATTGTTTCTAATTTGTATAGCTGTGTAGAATTAAATGCATTGGTAGAGATATTTCTATGGCAGTACCTCAACTGAATGTTTCTAAAGATGCACTTTAGAGGAGAAAAAGTGTCTCTTCTTTCACTCAGTGCTGTGTTATACATTATTGAGTAACCACATAATATTTTCATTGTGCTTCATGATTGTAATTTTGTAATTTTTTTTTGTTATTACTTCTTTTCAAATTCTAGGGTTGGACCAAATTCTACGAATTTTCTTTATCTGATCTCCGCGCAGGCTTCGACATTATTGATAGACTCTTTGAGGGTAAGTAGTTTTTTAAGAAAAGCTTAACTGATCATCATCACTTAACTCTTCTAAATGTCTTTCCCTTATTTTTTTATAATATTGAATACTTTCTCACTTATTTCTATAACTTGGTTATTTTATATGATCTCCTTGTTTGGACTAGGTCTATTCTTCAAGACTTCTGTTACATTTCTGAGAATTCTGAAACACAGAAACTATTAGTTTTATCAATTAAAAACATTTACAAACTAAGTGAAGCTTGTGCAACTTATATTAATTGGTAGTAGAGAAGAAAAACAATTAGAAATAAATTATTGGGTGTATTTGTATTTTTGTATTTCACAGAATTTGTATTTCAGAATAAATGTGGTGACAAAAAGAAATGTTAATAATGAAATGTTAAAAAATAAATTTACAGATTCCAAAGACTTTCAATGGGAATTTGTGCATGGCTTGTTTGAAAATGCAATTTATGGAGGTCGTATAGATAACTACTTTGATATGAGGGTTCTTCGATCGTATTTGGAGCAGCTTTTCAATACAAGAATCATTGGCAGCTCAAATGGTAGAGGCAAGAAGATGACTAGATTCCCATATTCCATCTCTTTACCGAATTCCTGCAGTGTTTTGGTAGGTGTACCTCACTTATTATCTAATAGAGAAAATGATACAAGTTATTTTCCAGAAGCATTATATCCACAAGCAAAGAGGTGTATCCAGAGGTGTAGTGCAAATGACCCCTCCATTTCTTTGAGAATTCTTTTGTGTGGAACAATAACACCTCTGTTGTCAGAATTGTTCTGCCAGATTGTTCCATCAGTGTCTTTATTTTATGGAATATGATAGAATTATGAAGAAAAGCAATACGAAGAAGCTATGAAGAACTGAATAAAATAACTTGAATCTGTTTTGACATCATTACATTTTTAGTAATTTAGTATATTAACCTAGTAGCACTCTTGTACAGCACACTGAATATTTTTTATCTTCTAGATGAAATGGGGAAATTTAAATATAACCGCATATTTGTAAAATACATTAACAATCTGGCATAATTTGCTGATATGTTGTAGATGTTCCATGACATTATTTTTGGAGATAAATATCTATTCCGATTATCCTTTAATATTCAAGAATGTAAATGAGAGTTCACCTGAGTCTGAAGAGCTGATTCTCTCTATTCTTTTACTTATTATTATTCTTATTAGTACTACTACTAGTAGCATCATTATCATTACTCTTACTATTATTGTTGTAAACATTCATTTGTATTTTGATGTAGTATTCTTATTGACTTATCTTCTCCTGTGGTGTGAAACTATGACAGTTAAATAAATTACTGTCATTTTTCTATCTGGATTCTGGCTTTCTACGCTTGAGATTTGTTTATTTGTTTGTTTTAAATATGTTATTTAAGTATATTATAGACTTGTTTTATGTAGAAGAGCTGAGCTAGTATCATAAAAAGGGAAGTAAACGAGCCAGATTTGTCTATTCATGTAGATAATATGGTCAAATAGATGGACTTTTCTTCTTTTCTGCAGTGCTTTAATCTCTCACTATTTCTAATAGTTTTATGATTATTACTGTAAAAGTTCCATACATTTATGTGCCTTAAATATTTTTCTGTTAGTAGTTTTAATGAGTAGAACACTAGTAATAAAACTAAATTTGATTGCTTAAGTCAATTGGCATAATATATCTTTCCAAATAGTGTTTCCTCAGTGTTCAGTGATCTGCTCTGTTTCCTCAGAACTGAGGTTCATGTCCAAGTACATCAGGTACACTTGGGACCTGATCTTGAAAACACTCAATAAGATTACTCACAATAATAAATCAGAGCACAAGCGTGAATATGTTCAGGATCAAGGACCAAGTGCACATGGTATAATGCATTAGGGTGCAAGCAGAATTTCAAATACCAAATGTTTTTGTCATGAGAGCCACAGTAAGAGATTTCCAAGACCATTAGTCTACTCGACTCTACAAGACTTCCTTCAATTATGTTACTCTCTCCTTCTAATGTAGGATTATCGCAATATTATTGAAAGCCTTCCAGAAGATGACAAACCCGAATTTTTTGGCCTGCCTGCTAATATTGCTCGTTCATCACAACGTATGATCAGTTCCCAGGTAAGGTAATATTTTGCACTGATCTCTGAAACTTTTGTCTAGAGACGTCACATACTCATTCAACAATATGGATTTACATAGCAAAGTCAGACTAAACAGAGATTTTTTAAAAAATTTTGACTTCTATCTATAGAACCATTTTTTATCTGTAATAACCATTACAATTTCAGAGTGTGAATAAACTACAGAAATTTCTGATAGAAGTTAGAGTTAGTTTAATTAACAGCAAGATATTCATACTTAAATTAAATTGTTAATATATTTATACATTGTTTTACTGTGTTCTCATACTTGATTTTCTGTAGTTCACATTACCAGCAATTCCAAGAGATAAAGTATTCTTGCCACTCTGTTGATTTTCAGTTAGTTCAGCATAGTTTGTGCTAATCACAATTGCTTTTTCAATCTGCATTTAAAACTCCTTTTTCCATGGCAGTGCTTGTGGGTGGTTAGCTTTTCTTTCGATATTTAAAAGATGGCTTCTAGCACAGAGGTCCTATCAAATGAAGAATGAGATGAGAAAACTACAGGCAGTGTGTAACAGCCAGATTCAGGTCTTACACAGCTGATTCTCTCTTTGAAGATGGAAACTTGGAGGACCAGAAATATCTTCACTAAGGCAAGCATGAAAATAGTCCACTTCCAACAGTGAAGGGTGCAAGACAAAATGCTCTGACTGAACTACTATTTCATTCACACTAAAGTTATTTTGCAGCAGTGTTATAGAGAAGGTAAATAAACACATAGACTCCAGAGGAAGAAAAGGAAGAATGTCTCTCTTGTAGTTTAACCCTAAAAGTTTACTCCTGTATCTGTTTATAGTTTTGTGTGTACTAGCAAAAATGGACGTAACAAGTCCATTCCAGGTTTCTGGATTCCAGTTGTCTTAGTCATTTTTCAGGACTACATAGATAAGCTTATAATGAAACATCTTTTCACACAGAATCATCTGATTCCTTACCAGCAGTATCTTCAGGTATCAGGATTTCTCAGGGCAACCACATTCATTTCATCAATATTCTGACTAGTGTTTTTCCTTTGATATTTTAAGTCTGTTAGTATCATCTCTTTGAAATGTCAGTTTGTCTTGACTTGAATTGTCACTATATTCTCTGAATCAAGAATTAACAGCTCTTTCAGGAGAGAAATTGTAATTATAAATGTGATTCAGATCTTTAGATTTAGGTATTTCATTGCTGTTACATTTCAAGTACCTTTGAAATGTTTTTCAAAATGCGTGTGCCTTGGTTGTCATGTAGCCCATGAAGACCAAAGCATTTGAAGACTTTATCTACTTAAATCCAGACACCTAATTTTACTGCATATGCTGTACCTCCGGAGGTGTTCAAAAAGAGTTATCTGTCTCCATGATACAGATTTACACGTGATACAACTTACACACTTACTTTAAGAGAACTGCTTTGTTATACACCAGAAAATTCAGGAGAAAATTAAGTGCCTAGTTAAGAAAGAGGGGTTGTTGTTACAAGGACTCCTCATTCCTTCCTAGTAGAAAGGAAGGTCTCTTTTGTACTTTACTAAAAGGATTGTCTTTGCTTCTGTTGAATTCTAAACAATGGTTTCAAATGCAATACAGATGTATGTTAAGAATCGAAGTAGTTTACATCTTCTTATACTAGTGATAGGGTTTTCAGACATTGAAACTGTCTGGTCTGGTGTTAAAAGCTATGTGTTTTGGAATTGGTTAAAAAAGACATTTATGAGCCTATTCCTGAAGAAATCATAGCAGCTGCCAAAATATCTCTTTTCCATATGGAAAGATCTTGCACTTTAACCTGAAATAGTGGGCAAGGCAGAGACTGTTACCTTTGTTATACATGTAAAGCATTTTTTTATAGTCTATTTTCTTTACCTTACCTTTAAAAGCAATATATATGACAATTAAAATATCTGAATGACAAGGTTTTTCTGTTATCTTCTTATCAGTGGAATTACTCTATATCAGCTTGATTCACTGTCCTCCTTTTTCTTTATGCTCTCTCATACTTTCTGTTGTAGGCCTGAGGAAGAGGCTGAGATTCAGAACAGAACATATCCAGTAATTTTCTATTTTGTAGACACTTCCTTCAGTTTCCCATTTTGGGGGTTGTTATATTAGAGAGCAGACAATATTTTATTTGACTTTTGATTTTTAAATTTCTGTTACATGTTTAATGAATTGAGTTGAATATGAATTCATAGTATTTATAGGTTTTTTTTTTAATTTTGGGGGATTCCTGCAGACGTGTGAAAGTAATATACACTTTTGTACCTTTAATACTTATTTTGAATATAGAATCTATGCAATGGTAAGGAGCATGAACTCGGGAAACATATCGAAGTATCTTTCTTTGTTTCCAGCTAGCTCTAGCCAAGATCATTTTTAACATTATTATTAAAAATAGTAAGAATAAAATAAGAAAAATGAGTTAAGATGATTATATTGTTATATATATATAATCATTTAGGAATTAAATGAACATGAAATTCTTGATACACATTTGATCAAGTAAATCAGTTGATGTTGAATAATATCCATCTATGTAAGTAGATTGCTGGTTCTGCTTACATTCTTAATCTAAATTTTATTATTAGAATAGTTCTTACAGCTTCTGCTCACTGAACATAAAAATTTTAGTTTGGTCTGCAAACTCAAAACCAATAGCTTGGCAGAGGAAAGATGGGCAACACTTCTTTGTGCTTACCTTTTGTGGAAACTAAACACTTTTGAAGTATTCTTAATTTCTTCCACTCATCAAAATTTCTATTTAGAAATGAGGGATTTAAAAAAGACTTGTTCTCACTAAAGATGAGCATATGTGAGTGTATGTCTACTTACATGTGTTATTATAATAAAAAGTAATTGATCCTCAATCAAAATAAAGTGCCAGAGTTTTGGGGATCTTTGTTTAAAAAATTGGTATTAAATATCTCACTTATTGCTGGAGCAGCAAGATAGGACAGCTGGCTATATCATAGTCATGAGTTTTCTGCTGTCATGTGACTGCAGTGTAGTTCAGATCTGATTATATGTTTAGTATGTGAGAATTAAGTTGTTGTAGTACTTCAGGAATACGTGATGATGAGAGATTTGTCACATTTCTCTGGGTCACATGTACCCCAACTTGGGTGAATGACCTATTACACTGGATACAAGAAAAATCTGCCTGCTTCTAATGCTGTTTTTGGACCTAGTTAAGGATACAACCATCAGATTCTCTGGTACAGCTATTCTTATTCCCCTTGGGGGAACCGGCGAATATCAATATCTCTTCTGGGAGAGAGAGCCTCATCCTGCCACTTGCATTGCTTCTTCAAGCATCTTTTTAAAGTTGCCATCAGCTCACTCAATCACCATGTCACTAGCACCTGAAAGATCAAATTTAACACCCTTTTTGTCTACTGTTTCACTGAGTCTGTGGAAAATATATGGTATATTCTCTTAGGCTTATAATTTATGTCTACTATCCCATATAATCTCCCACCGGCTGGACATTTTCCTTTTTCGGGCTGCATTTTTTTTAATAACGTCTTCCTTATGCAAGGAGACACAGAATGGTACAATGTCCCCACTAAGCTCATGGTTAAAGGAAGCAGGAATTCTTTTAAGATATACATACTTTGAAATCATATCACTGAAGCAATGGAGACCTTTTATTAGGTCTCAGAGATTTAAAATAATCATTTAGATATATATTGACTTGAAGTATATTATATTCAATGATGTTTTGTCATTTCAAAATCTTTAAAATAAGTATCAAAGAGATGATATTGTGATTTGTTCACCTAAACCTATAGTGATGCAATTGTTTTATAAGAAATTTAATTTCATTTCATGAAATTGTTTCACTGTACAGCATTTACATCAACAGAAATGTAGATCTTAGATTTTTGTGAATATCTTTTCATTCATGTATTTGTTTTTCATTCATTTGTGTAGCTGCAGCATGACGTTTCTGTGCTGCAGCAGAGATTTGCTGAAGCACAGTGCAGCATTTTGCAGTCATGCAGAGATCTATTCTGTAACCTACTGCATTGCTAATACTGGTATAAGCCCAAAGCATAGCATGAAAAGAAACATTTTTTTTCCCAATAAACACACCAAAAATTGCTTCATATTCTGTTCATAGCTTCTTCTTTTTTTTTTTCCACCACTTCTTCAGTTCCCCTTTAAGTGCTAAATACCACTAGATGAATTATCTTGATACGGTAATTACTAATTGGATCATTAGAAATTATATTCTAAGATGCTATTTAGGGCAACTCAGAGAGTATTAATACTGCCTGCATACTGAATACTGCTAGGATTTTTTTTTTAAAGAATATATGTAATTTGAAAAGATGTGATCTTTTCAGTAACCAGACTTACATTTTTTCCTGCATAACTGTTGGATGTAGGAAGAGTTTGTTAAATTTTTACAGGCCCAATTTCTAGAGTTCACTGTGTCTTTGCTCCTTCCGCACCTACAACATACATCCTTGACATAATCTCCCTTAAATTGAATATGCTCGTGAATAATCTCACGTCTCTTGTGTTTCTCTGAAAATAGTGCAGTAAAAATATAGCTGACAGTGCAGCTGCAGGAAGTAGCTTGTCCTGCCTGATTTACAGCAGGCAGAGTTGTTCTGTATAGCTGCAACCTGAGTTTCCCCACGCTGAACAAGCTTCCTTACCACTTAGTTACAGTCATGCTATTTACTTCTGATCTGATAAATATTGTATTCTTGGCTGCATATTGGTCTGTATTCGGGTGGTTTAATCTCACAGCCTAACCAATAACCTAGTGATTAGAGCAGTCTACTGGAGTGAGTGTGGAGGTTTACTTTAGAGTTTTGATGAGAAGAGCTAGATCTCTCTGTAATCACTTTCTTGCAGAGTGGACTCTAGACTCTGGTATACAGAACAGTCTCTTATTCTTGGAACCATATTTCTATTTTTCATGTATACATATGAACCTGTCTCAACCTTTATTATATTTTTAATAGAAAATAATATATAT